CACTATTATTGACCTTCTCTTGGTGTTACATGTCGAAAGTCTATTTTCCCAGTTATCTCATGTTCAGGCTTGAGGATTGTGGTTAGAACTAACACCACTACAGACTAACGAGGTTCCTTATTTCTAGAGAACTTCGCCTTTGCAACGATAACGCTTAAAGTAAGCCATATTACTAATAATATTCACAAACAGGGTGGCCATACATATGTGTTATTTCAAACTACTACTTTATTCGGGTTAACAAGAAACACGATGGCCCACTCACTTTAGTCATTTTTTATGAGGGATGTAAATCAAAATCCTACTAAGAAGTAGAGGAATCACCAACACAATTTCTTTCCAACCCCTTATGAGGTGCTAAAGTTTAAATGTCTCATACTAAGCAAATGGCAAAAAACTTTCGTACCTGTAGGTGACCGTTGCGCTACTGATGAAAGAAACCAAATTAGTAGTGAACAAGTCTTTATTTAGATCCTCACGCGGTCACAGTGGAGCGTAGGATTACCTGTTCAGACAAACAAAGCTTCTCAACATTCAATATAAGATAATAGGTAATACAATGCCCATGAAAAATAAGGAAGTCAACGAATACTTGAACTCTGTTGTTTAGACATATACTCAGTTGTTTGAGGTCAACTCTTAACCAGTCAACATAAGCTGTTATGAGACTTAAAATATCTAGACGGACTATACACACCTAACTGTATTTTTACCAGTTGTTCTACAACGACTAAGCAGTTTTCTGTATGGTCAGGTGGATCAAGCATGACAATATGTGAATGTCAACAAATGAGTACAGATTTCGCACGTTGTTCAATGATCAGCCTCTCATCCCTCACAATAAGATATTCCTTGTCAAACTAAAATATTTAGATAGATGTTCAGGAATGTGTTTCAGCATAAGTATTAATTTACAAACAAGGCCAAAAAATTCAAGTGAGTACGATGAACGAAACCTCAAAAATTGTGGTTAAATGCATTGGCGACAAATTAACAACTAAATTACAGGGACTTTATTTTCGGGATTTGTTTAGCTCTACGGCTCACTCCTTCCCTTGTGGTATGGTGATGACTCTAAGTTGTGAACAGCCAGACGTATAAAACCCAAAATGCTTCCAGCCGATCAACACTATTTTGATGGCCTACTATGTTCAGCAGTATCAAGTCGTCTTTCACTAATATAAGGGGTCACGTGGTACAATGAAGTAAGTGAATAGTTAAAATGTTTGTTCATCCTGTGAAATGAAAGTGTAAGTACACGTCCAAATATACGCGTAAGTACGTGAGGATACAAAGCAAACAAAAAAGAAAAAAATGGCATACATGTGTATAGATAACGTGCGACAGTTTGAAAATATTTTTGCACAGTGATTTTTTCTTGAATTTTTAAGAAAAACTGCACATATGAGAGCATATTACAAAAAAATGTTGATTTTTTGGCATAACAATACAAACAAGTGGGATAAAACGAAAGGCTATACAGTGTCCTTCGTGCGGTAGTCGTGTGTTTTAGTGTTCGGGAAACCCAACCGATCTCCTAAAGAGTATTGTTTTGGCCTGAGCGTCAGATGCGAGAGAACCTTTGTCGTCATTGGTGATTAACCAGAGATGCATCGTAACTGCGAGGTTCGTTTCGTTCAAATGTGCAGGTGAGGATCAACATTATTAGGGTTTCCTTCTGAATACATGGCTTTGAGACGGTGTCGTTAATTCGATTTTATCGATGGTATGGTATTGAGGTTTGCGATGAAGGACTTTGAAGGGTCCTTCGTATACCATTTTAAGCGGTCGTCGTAGTATAGGTCCATACTCATCGCAGAGAATGAAGGATCCACGAATTCTCCTGGAAGTCGTAGTGTCGTTCTGTAAACGAGTTGTGCAGCAGTGTATCCAACTTCAGCTCTCAGTTAATTGCAAATATCGAGTAACACTAGTGGACGAACGTCAGCCCACTGTGAAACGTTTGCTAAATGTTAAGCTCTCAACTGTCGGTGAAATCGTTCTACCAACCTGTTAGCTTGTGGATGGTAAGCAGTCGTTCGGAATCGTGTGATTTCTAGTAGACATCAGGAAAACCCATATTCCTAATGGCGTTCATGGTCTGTAGTTATAGTGAAGGACAGACAAGGTTTCCCACCCACCGTCCGATGAAGGCGTGGGCCATAGTTTCGGCGGTGTAGTCCTTTACCGGTACTGCTTCTGGCTATTGTGTGAAAAGGTCTGCTCACGTTAAGAGGAAAAAGTGTCCAGTCGAATCTCGTAATGGTTTTACCAAATCAAGATAAACATTGTCGAAACGAGCGTCGGGAGTTGCGAAGGAATCCAAGCGACATTTGTTGTGTCTGATGACATTAAATTTCCTGCAGTTCACATAGGATACGTCCACCCTTTCACGTCTTTATTTATACCAGGTCGAGGAAATCATTTTGCCATGAGCTTGATGGTTATTCGAACACCTGGACTAAAAAGTTAAACATCTGGTATATAATGTTGCCGGTCACGCACGGCAATTTCGATCACCTTTGTTAGGGTCCGGAGAACTTTTCGAGCATCCTTTGGAAGTGTGAGTCAATTATATGCCTAGCCGTGACTGAGCATAACCTGCTGCCAAAAGATGAAGTTACACAAACAGATAATTTGGTATCGCCGTCTACTAACCTCTGTTTGCTTGGGTTGATGAGCAGAATGTGTTGTTGCAGCAAGCCCATACCAATGAGTGATATTGAAGCATTTACAACAACGAAAATCCATTTAATGGGTGAAGTCATATTTAGATAAACTTATATCTTACCGTATATGGCGATAAGTTTTCAGTTTGCCACCCATAAATTGAAAACCAGTTCGTGCAGAAGGCCGCAAGAATTCACAGAAAGAACGCTTACTTTCACTCCAGTGTTGACGCGATAGTAGGCTTTTGTCATCACATAAGCAATCGGAAAGGGACGGCTATGTACACAAAGTAAATTAGCCGTTTAAAGTCCCGGTGGTGATCGATCGATCTGAAAATCTGTTTTATTCTACCAGGCTGATTCCTTGTGGCTAAGAATAACAATGAAACTCTCGCATTTCACTAGTTATATTAACTGGATGAGTGATGGTTAGAACACCGTTGTACAGGGTTGGCCATGTGTAATGAAATCAATACCTGCAAACGCAGGTGTTACTTATTCTGTCTTGCTGATTTCCTAGTAACTGTTGTTTGATTTCTTAAACATGTCTAATGTAAATTTATATCCCATAAAATTGTTTCAGACGTACTCTCTAAGTAAAAACTTTCACTGATTACATTTATGAAGTATTAGATGATAGTTTCTGTTTTGTCCTGACTTTCCAATGTTAGGTGTATTCAAGTAGCTGAATTAAACCGGTTTAACTTCATCTATCTCGTTATTTACTCCTAACGATGTGTACTTTAGGTAATTTACTGCATCCGCTGAAAGTTCGGCAATAGATTACTTTTGAAACTTCGGAGATTTCGCCAGTGAACATATCGGATCTTCTGATATACACTTGCCATGGTTTAATGTAAATTAACGAATTTGTTGTGAACGCCAATCTCTATTCAGTTTTCCAGACATTTAGTATATATGAAGCCAATTTTACTGCATCTCTAATTCAATAAATCAGGGTGTGTTCGTTGTGTTTGTTTTACTGAAACAGTCACTATAATTTTTTCGGTCCCATAAATCTGCACACTAAAGTGATGGAAGTCTTTCTCACTCTTTCCCTAGATTTGATTTCGTTTAACATTAGTCCGAAGACTTTTTCAAGACTTTCTTTCTTGTAACCATTTTGGAGCCGTGACTCTTTATTACATGGCACCTTGTTCACATCAAAGAGTCACATGGTTTTACTTCTACAGTGTCCGGTTTGAATCATAGACTTTTCTTAATGGTCGATGTATGAATGGCATCATATTGCTTAACAGAGCCATATCGGACTAAGTTCAAGGCTGTTATCTTAGATGGCGGATTTATATGCTTTATGTGTTGTTACGCCGAGCAATACCTGTGATCATAAATAACTTCATTCGCTAACGTAAACCTAGGGTACTTCGAATGGAAATGATGAGTACAGATAACCGTGTGCCAATTTTGAATACTACATTTTACTAAGCGTGCAAATATTGGATATATTTGAACAACTTCGTTGGTAAACTCGTGCTTAGTTGTGTGGTCAGTTCGATTATCTTACATGTGAATCCCTTTGATATTCCATTTTTCTGTTTCCTGTCTATCTGTTGATCGCATCCGATTGCTATAATGGTGTATAAATGCTTGAAACACACAGACTAAACGTACCCGGGACAGTTTGAATTCACTTAAATTCAAATAGTCTGGTTCGATATCGGATTAATTTCACTGAAATAAATTTGGTGGACATTCTATTTCCAGTGATACTTTTATTATGTTACGGTAGCTAGTGATTCCCATTCAACGGCGGGGAGGTTTAGTTCAGATATTTTTCCAATAATATTATAACTTCATTCCATTTGTATCTAGCAGTTGACATTACGCGGCAAATAAATCTCCAAAATAGTTTTGTAAACCTTCAACGTTGACGCTGATCTCAATGGTTTTACTGGACACACATTATCTGAAGGCACTCTGCCATACATCTGCACCAGATCATATATGGCTACGCCATGCTACTCCTGGACAGCTTAGACCGAGGGCTTCTCGACATACCGATAGCTTTTCAAATATGTCTTCGAACCCTCCATTTCTGACTTCTGATTTGACTGGGTTGGTATCCTTCGACTATAAAGGTGTTGCTTCCTGTTTTATAAATATACTAATTGATTCTAATTCTTATATGAAACCCTGGAAATCGGTGTTAAATCCTTCATATTATTTAGCAAACCTAGTTTGGTTATGTGAATAGCTATCCACTTATCTGCAGAATCTGAACTCTATATACCCATCAATTTTGCCTAGATTTTCTCAACAGAGATGATGTGCTGATATGATAAACAGTACAAGGTGTCAGAAATATGCTCATGAAGTCAAGACAGAAGCGCGAAATGTGTAAATCTTGATAACTCTAAATGGTATTGGACATTTAGAGCCCTATATATAGAATTCAAGGTTTCATTAGAGAGCGCGTATTGGTTTTGCATCTCAGCAAGTATGCAAGATTTACCGGTGACGACATGTCGTTGAAGTTTACTACAGCAATTGAGATTACAGATCAAGTTACGGAGCAACAACATAGTCGACGTGTACACTACAAAACAGAGAACGCTAAATTATTGCTTTTGGCAGTTATTTAGTGCTTTTTAATGCCGCAAAAGATTACTGAAATATGGAAAAACTTGATACTCGTACAACCCAACAAATCTACGGCAATTGAAATACGGAATGACCGCCTTTAGTCCGGCTGTTCAAGGTCGTCGGAACGAAACGGCGGCCGGGTCTGATGAAGTCTGTGCCAAGAATTTTAATGAGACATTGGTCACCCCTCTCCGTAGGTGTGAAGAATTCTGTTTAACTGACATTATCATCGTGTGTTAAGACAAAGTCATATATAGTGGAACCTCGGATAATTTCGTTGTGCTTTCACGAGTTCCTTACAACTTGTATCCTTTAAAGGCGGAAATGCGACAATTCAGCGGATATTTAGGCGATAAGTCGGTAATTTGTCGACAAAAAGGCGAAAATCCGCATTATTTCCCCTGGACAGGCGCGTTTTCCCCTTTAGCCACCAAAGCATTTCCCCTTATTGGGTTGTTTGGGTTCAGGGATACTATTATAATAGTGCACAGATGAGTCTAGCTGAAAGTTCTTTTTAACATCAGCTTAGTATAGCAAGGATGTAAATAAAATTGAGTGAGTGGAAGACACTACAGGATTGATAGCTAAAAAAGACCGAAGCCGGAAGCTACCACTTGAATTCAACCATTAATGGTTGTGAGTGAACGGCAATAAGTGGGTAAAACAACTTACCCTTAGTAAGATTAAGAATTATGTGGAGAAGGTCTTAAGTAGTGTGATATACGTCGAGATACAGTTAGACGGGCTTTTATAGTGCGTGCTACTAAGGCCGGAAAAATTAACAACTTTCCTCCTTTTACAAAATCGTTCATGGTACTGAAGACTCAGAGGTGGCTACGGCAGACTAACAAAGACGAGGTCGGCCGCCAAAGTGTACTTTCTTATTACTGACGACAGTACAGTTAGCACGTGTCTGTGAATTTCAATGTAGTTACCAAGCGCGATACAAATAGTAACTGTTCCTATGATCCATGGATGATGCGTAGTACTGCATGTTTTTTTCACTAACGTGCTGACCTTACAAATGTTTGTCATCAGCTTACCTAACTAGTGCGCATCTCATCATCAAGCATTGTGAATTGTACTGGTCGGTTTTTCTCCTGATATAACAACCGGTTTCCCATTTTTCCACCCAACCTTTAGTTTTTGCTACTTTTTACGGAATCTTTAATGCTTTAGGTTTAAGTACGTCAATACAAGATAGTATTTGAAGTTTATGAACAATTTGCACTGAATGGAGACGACTCGCAGTTCCGTCCGGGTTAGTTCACACGCTGGAAGCTGGTATACTGCAGACAGTTGAGCGACTATTAGCAAGACAATTACTAATCATAATTAGGAACAGAGTTGTCATCACAGTTAAACACTTGGTTGGAAAGTTGCGAAAAGAACGTCCCAAATGCAAATTCAGTCCGGGCAATTATAGTACCGTATGATATTATTCTTACTAATAAAAGTATCAAGTCATGCAGGTTACCGACATTCTGGTTTATGTGCGGCCCACGCATACCGTCTAATAAATCCTGACAAAATGTAAGTAGTGTTTTAGTTAAATATTTCTTCAAAGAGAATGCATTTTTATCATAGGTCCCTCACATCGTTTAGATATTGGGAATACATGTGCTCTGACTTCTGTATCTGAATATGAAACTCCGTTTTATAACTTAAAGATTAATACCAATGGTAAGCGGAGTTAATTTAATACCTTTTTCAGTGTACAACAGCCTTAAAAAGTTCAACTGCTTCAGCGTTCTCGAAAAGAGTCAGGACGAAGCTGAACATTCTGTAGAAATGCAGTTACCGTATATTGCTCACATCATGAAACGGTAAGCTTTCCCGTGTGGTGATTTTCTAGACTGTTAATGTGACTTAAATACCTTTAACAAATTAGCGAGATCATAAGACATACCATGCCTCTATCCATGTGGTTTATATGAAACTTGTCCACAACGGATACGTCAAGTAGTAGATCCTCTGTAATTTATACAAGAAAAACTCCTGAAGACCACAGTCCACATTCATATTCACGGATATTCCTTTATTTTGCGTTGGGGATACGAAATCCGCAAATACTTTTAGTATGAGATAATCAGTTTTAAAACTCATAAATTGGTTGAAAGCAAACTTCTCCCACCCAATTTTATTCAGTAGGAAGTTCGTTATTTCATTTTCGATGTATCTTCGTTGTATTGATTTGTATTCAGTGACAGTTTCTTTTATAAATGATAGTCACTTTTAGACGGCATAACTGGTTAACTAAGCTTTCCGCTTTTGAAATGCTTTTCCGTTTCTATCGAAATATTTTGATTTCGAAACCGCCCAGATGATATGCAGAAATATTAGGCCGTAAACGACTTAGTGACAGCAGACATAATATCCTGTAAACTTAAAAATTAATCATACTAGTAGGAAATACGCAGTGTTTTGGTGACAATACGCTTTCCTACATTCTAATACTAAATAGTCAAATCAGTGTGACAATTATTTGTGATAATCAGTGACATCCTAGTTTAACACTGAAACCAATGGTTATGAGACATGCTATCGTTTCCAGATTACAGTTTGGTAAGTACCTTGATGTGATTCGCATTTCTTTACCAACATCTTGGAGTTTAATACAAATAATGTCTACTTTTACTCTTGCTTTGAAGTAGGAAAGATCAGTACTCCATAGTCCCCATAGTTGTCGGTTGCTTGTCATTCGAAAAACAAGAATTCTTCGGGAACCTCCTATCGAGCTATATGCTAGATGAGAAGAATCTCTTTGTGATATCTTCTGATTTCTGTCATTGGGGTTTGTTACATTTTCTACGCAATATTTTTGTGTTTATTTGAAGCAGTATACATAATGGTTAATTTGGCTGAGAGTGATGGTAACTTGCGGTATTCCTTTACGTAGTTTCGTCTGTTGTTCTAAATAATCGTTAATGATTCATCATGTTAACCTTGGTTACGAAATTCTATGGCCGTCTAAACACTTTTCCAAGCAGTATTTATAATACTTCGGTAATTATCTAGCCTTGTTTAAATGTACATTTTATGCTAGAATCTTTTAAATAAATATACGAGGACATCATAAGTGCTCGTTTTACGCGCTTATCGTCAAGAATATATACGCATGGTCAAAGTCAAACAACAAGTCACAAAATTCACTCTCAGTGATGATTAGTATGATTCAAAATGATACCCACAGTCAGTAAACTAATTACTCGTATGCTTTATTTCCAGGGAAACGATTTCGATATCAGTATTACAATAAATCCGATGGTGCGATATGGCAGTCTATTGAGAAACTCGATCACCTTGTAAGTGGCTGCAGTATTTTTATTTTCACACTGTATCCCTCTCAACTATAATTAAATCTAATGTTATATTTCACAGGGTTTGAATGCAATTCGAAGCCTGAAACCGAAATCATTCATAAAATATCTTGAAGAGTACAGGAACACTATATGTGGCAGGAGAAGTATAGGCGTGTTCTTATTTATGATTGACTGTATTCGACAGAAGCAACCGTTTAACCTGGAACTTAAAATCCTAAACTATACACAATCCAACCGCTGCCAGTCAATGGAAGATTCATCAGTGAGTTACACTGCATGTGCTCTAGTCAGTCGTGAGTAAATATATAAAAGGATCCGTAAAAAAAGTTTGTTATATATTGAAGTAAAATTAACAATCCCTAAAGTTGTGATTTTTTACTTTAATGTAAACGTCGATACACATATTATAATATGCAGGAAAAGTTACTTATATCAAGATATTTGTAGCACACCAGCTGCATAACTGACAGATGATTGGTTCATATTATTACAGTGTTCTGATTGGGCATATCGTACAAACTTCATATTAAAATTGTTATTGGGCATATTCCTGCGTAAATACGTAACGATTTGTAGTAATACGCCTATCGGGTGTCGTCCGCATATGGTGTTACCATATTGCTCCAAGTAACTTGTAAATTCAGAAGGAGCAAGTCGCTCAATTAACTCCATTCCCTAAAAGTTTAAAGGATCGAGAGCCACAAAAAATAATGCATTTAATTACTCATAAAAATACACATTTTGAAGTTAGTTCTTAGATGACGCAACAGACAAACTGCTGTTCAATTCGCTCGTTTTAGTATAAATCGGAGTGTCTTATTGACACTATCACCTGTGTAAGGATGGTGCATACCATATGGGCTTCTGCTTTCTCAGTCACAGTTCATCAGGAAGCGAACCATCTAGAACTCCACCAAAATGGAAGAATCAACGCACTGAATCAGTTTAAATTTAATGAACTGGCGTTTGCCAGCTTGCGTCACTTCTCGCACAGACGAGATATTTGTTTGTCAACCAAAAAACGGGTGTACTGTATGGCAGTTCGCTTTGCGCTACTTTATAGCTGAGGAAAGTGACCTTTAAAAGCAGAGGATATCTGAAGGTTTTTCAGTATTTAATCATAGGTGTATTCGAGGCATCATCCTTATATTTTGGAACCATCGAATTAGCAATTTTGAAAATACCAGGTAAGAATGATAAAGTGAATCTCCATTGAGCGAGACAGAACAACTATTACGTACACCTATCCATTGATTGCCCCGACTTGCGATGATAGCCGGAGTAGAAGTAGGTTCAAAGAAATCTAAGGACCAAGACATATCATCAGTACACTGACTAGTGTAAGTAGGTGCAGACTGCCCGGTTGGGGTCCGCGTGATTATCGTAACTTATGGTTAGGGATTCGAAATTATTGACAATGGTACACAATCCGTTTACTGTCTTTCCTTAGATTTCAAGTTTCTAAATTACCTGGTAAATCTTTTTATTCCACTGGCCCATATTTATTCACGTATCGTATCTTCAACCCTTAATCTTTCTTATAACCACTCATACTTGCTATATCTGTTATTCTGGAATTCGTCCTGACAAATTTATCTCGCTATGCCAATGAAGGGGGGTGACAAGTTGAATCAATATACAAATGTGCCAGGTATTGATTTGCGTATTATGATGAGTCATTTACAAACCATCATCTTGCCTACGACAGATGTGATGGATAGAAAAATGATTTGCATTGTTAGATGATTTTTAGGTTGGAGGTCTATGTATCAACGAGACCACACAGCATCTCTATGGCAGAAATGTTTTCAGATAACTACAGAATAAGACTAGATTATTATCATTCTAGGTAACACTAGATGAGCCGAATTTGTTAATGTATTGAAGGACAGTAGAAAACTAAAGGGTCTATGGGAGTCATATTGTTGGCAACGGTAGAAAATTGTGCTTCGACAGTAAAACAAAAAGAAGTCTAGATATTAGTTTTAGGTAGTAATGAAAATTATCATGTAGCTAAGGTCTTCTCAGAGTAAAGCCGAATCATTTGTGGCAACCACATTCTCTGACTCTATCATATAATTAATGGCAATCTATTGATGTTATACATACTTTTGGACAAGGATTTTAAACCTGGATCTGCCAATGTGATTGGGACGGTGTGAATGCTTTTTTCCTGCTAGTGGTACGGTGGTGTTGCATCCTTGATTGCTCTTGACCAGAATCACTAGACACGAATCCAACAATGTAAGCCGGTTTACTTTTCGGGAGACCGAGTATACTTTTCGCTCATAGATCAAAGATAAGGTTTAACCAATAATACTGACTGTCAACAATTAACCTTGAGGTAGTGACTTAGATAATTCTTAACGCCTGTTGGCCTAAGAAGCTCAATTTCCCATTATTGAATCCGTAGAACACAATAAGCAGACAACCCTCTACTATATGTAAACCAATCATCAGTTTACATACACGCATTAGTAGATGCAAAAAAACTATAGATAGAAAATCATAGTTTACCAACTTGAAAAAAGAGAGGAATAATAATAACAACTTGAATCTATCAGAAGCTTAGAATACAGAATACGAAAACATAATCCAATTATTAAGTAATGGTAAGAAAATACACGTAATAGTTCCCTGTAAAGTAAAGCAAAATCTACTTTTCCAATACCACCTCTATACCAAATAATCGCGTGTCTAGATAACCCCCTTTCAAACTTCAGTATGCGGACTGCAATGATCGGACGTTGCATATAACTGGATATGTAAGTAGAGATCGATAAAGGTGTCTGATGCCATATTTCGCGTTTTGTAAATGCATATAACGAGAAACTGGCCTAAAGAATAGGGTGGATGAAGACTGATTTAGTGAACGTTACTTGCATGAATCTACCCAACTGTCATTACTTGACGTTGTTACCGACAACGTTAAGTCATTAATTTACTCATACAATCTTAAAAGATAGGTAACTTACCGTTTCATCAAGTGCTTGTATGGATTGCCAGATTGCTCCTTTACTTTGATCATAGTAGGTGTACTGAAACCTTTTTCCTGCAGGTAAGAAACAAATTAGTACTTAACGATTGTCTGGAGAAATCACTCTATATTCATCTTAGATTGTTTCTCATCACATTGCCTGATTTCAATTAAAACATGCCTATAAAAGTTACTTTAAAATCTATTACAGATGTAAAGATTTCGAGAAATGCAGTAACAACCAGCTATACTACATGATTACTTTGAATTTAAGATACAAACAAATTAGGACATGTTTGATGGTCTAAGATACTACTATTCGTTGTGGCAAAAAGTAATATCTGAAAAATGAATCATCGGTCCAATTTATCTATCTGTGTAGCATCAAGTGCAGTGCTTCCTTAAGAGAACCACATGATAACACCAATAGGTGAGGATATTAAGAGATAGAATCCAAATCAGACAACAACCTTGAAATTATCATTTCTTATGAAAGGAGACCGCTGTTTTCGAACAACATAGGAAACTACAAATAGAGTTGCCACTAATTTTTATTCCGAGGTTGAGGTGATTTTTTAGCAAGACTGATTTATCACCATACATACTTGTTAAGAACATTTATACACAGACATAATAGGTCAACTACTAAAGCTTATCGAAGCTGTATGAAAATCCGAACCTTTATTTTAACCTTAAACCCACCTTGTTAATACTAGTTTATTATACAGCGCGGTGAGTCTCATATCGTTCTTAAAATTATTTTCTTACTATATTTGTTTCCTCTTACCCTCCACTTGTCTAGTCGACATTTCATTTTTGTATATAAATGTTCTTAAGAAGTATATGTTTGGTCAGATTGTCCAAAATGTATTGCGCCAATATATCACATAGTTCTGATAATCTTTGTCTTCTTACTACACGACCCAAACTTGAGTGAATTGAACTAACAGTTAATCAATCAGGAAAATCAGTAAGTGAACTGGCTTGACTGAGATGCGTAACTCATCTTTAAACTACGTATTCGTGCTTTCCGTGACAGAGGCGTGTTTGTTAATTTTTCTATTCTTATTTACTTACACCTGTTACCCGTCGTGAAGGAGCGTGGGCCGCCCACAAGGATTCTTCACCGAACTCTATCGTGAACAGTCCTTTTCAGTTGCTATTCATTCTCTTGTTGTATGCTTCCAACTCTCGGCACAATCAGCTCCTTGGTCTTTATCTTTTCCGTTTCCCCTCAGGACCCCAAGTTAGCGCTTGCCTCGTGAGGCAATCTGATGATTTCCTCAATGTATGCCCTGTCCACTTCCAGCGCCTTTGCTTAGTTCCCTCACCAGCTGGGAGCTAGTTTGTTCCCTCCCACAGTAGGTTGTTGCTGATGATATCTAGTCAACGAACATTGAGTAGACAATTGCTTAAAATACTTGTACTTTTTTGATGATAGTTGTGGTAGTTCTGAGTTTCAACTCTGTACAGTAAAAGTGTCTTGACGCTCGTATTGAAGATTCTGACTTTGATATTGGTTGAGTTCTGATTTCCATATGTTCTTCAACTGTGGGAATGCGGCCCTTTGTCAATCCTTGTCTTTACATTTGCATCAGATCCCCCTCGTTTATCGATGATGCTGTCCAGCTACGCAAAGGTTTACACATCTTCCAAAGTTTCTCTATCAAGTATGGTTGGGTTGGTGTTCTTCGTGTTGTGTTTAAGGATCTTGGTTTTTCCCTTGTGTATGTTGAGGCGTACTAATGGACTGCTGCTACACAGTTTGCCTCGACCTGTATTTGTTCGCGTGTGTGGGGTAAAAGGGCTGGGTCATCTGAAAAGTCCAAATCATCTAGGTGCACGCAAGCTGTACATTGGATTTCGTGCTTCCCCTGACATGTGGAGGCTTTCATAATCCAGTCAACTACCAGAAGAAAGGGAGAGAAAGTATTTTTGTTTGACAACGGCCTCCACTTGGAAAGCGTCTGTCAGCTGCCTCCCACCCACAAATTTCCAGTGTAGTCCATCATGTGAATCACAAATGATGTTGATGACCTTTTCAGGTACATCATAGTGTCGAAGAAGACTTCATAATATCCTATCCACGCTGTCAAACGCATTCTCATAGTCAAGGAAGTTGATGTATAGTGACAAATTCCATGCAGTCAATTGATCAGCAATGATCCGTAATGTCACAGTATGGTCTGTGTATGACTGATCCTTACGGAATCCCGCCTGTTGATCTCGAATCTCGGCGTACACCGAATCTTTCATCCCGTTCAGCAACACTCTGTTGGAAACTCTCCCTGGTGCTGATAATAGTGTAATGTCTCTGCAAATTTCAGTTTCTGAGATCTCCTTTCTTTGTATCTTGATAAGGTGTCCTTCTTTCCAGTTTGTCGGCACTTGTTCCTTCCGAATCTTTCTGAAAAGGGCGTGGAGCATGTTTGCAGTTGCTTTTATGTCTGATTTCAGTGCTTGAGCTTGTGTATTGTCAGATACCGTCTTTCCACTCTTGATTTGTCTAGTGGCCATACTGATTTCTTCGATCGTTAGTGAAGTGACAGCTATAGGAAGGTATATGTGTAATGCTTTTATGTGCGGTGGATTCAGTGGGGCTGGTCTGTTTAAGAGTTCTTTAGTGTTCTACCCACCGAATGAAAAATTTTGTAAGGCACTGGTCCTGGAGTTGCGGCTTGCTAACAAATGGTAGCACAATGTGACTTTTGTCATGTGGTTTCATATCACCAGCAGACTAAATACGTACTTCCTTTTAACCAGGTTTCGTCCCCAGTATGAACCTCACGGAAATTAGTATCCGAAGATGACCCTACTTACAATATGGTCTTTATCATCTCACAACATTTTTAGATATCAACACCACTTTTAAAATGATGGAACTGGACACGATGTATTTGCTAGTGGTAAAGCCGAGCAAACTAAAAAGCTATAGAACATTTTAAGCTGAAAGACTAAATTTCACAAATTATAGGAACTCCCTAAGTTGCACTATTGTACATCCAGCCTTTTGCACTAAAACCGATGATACCAAGAGATACCTAAATTCCCCTATGCGAATCGAAAGGAATCACAACATCAATGTCTACAATACGTATTGTAGTCCACGAACTTGTCGAGGGAATGACGTAATTAATGACACTATTTAAACGAAAATTGGCCTGCTACTAGTATGCTACTTTACGCCCGTCTACATAACCTGTGCAGTAAAATGACACTTGTTTAGAATTCACAAGTAGTAGGCTTCTTAACTAAAAAAACAAATTGGTAGTTATGCTAGTCGAAAATCTTGACAGGAAATACATACTGTGCTGAATCGTTTTGAAACTGACAAAGCTTTGCCTAACATGCCTTCAAACAACAGGTCTTACAAGGGTTCTGAGTCTCAAGTGAAACAGTCTAGTGAGACATCACGGTTTCGTGATTAGTGTTACATACATACTTAAAAATCTCATTCTAACACTCAATTAATGAAAGCTTAAAGTATTTTCTATAGGATAGTTACATTAATAATACCAACAATAATACTTGGTTAGGCATTAAAGTAGCAAAATACCTAAGAACACTAAAATACGGCAAAATTTAACATACCCCAGTGACAAAAATCAGAAGATATCACGAAGAAGTTCTCGGGATTTGATAGGTATCGAGAGAAAATCTGACCATAAACTGCTTCCCTTTCTGGAGTCAAATATCCTACCAAAATTGGTACTACAGAGAATTTGCCTTGGTAACTAGAACACCAACACCAAATAAAATAGGATTTCGAAAGAAACGACAGCATAACAGTCTGAATTTGAGTAAAACTGACGTATAAACCAGTATATAAAGTGTTTTTTGTAAATGCCATGAGTTCTAGTCTGTTGGGTGTTTTATAATATTAAGTTGGTGAAACTGAAGGTCAGTCAGTCAGTCAGTCAGCTACAACGTAGGACCAGGCACATATGTGCATCGGTCCAGGTTGCCATACCTCATTAGCACAGCAAGATGAACACCGGATTCATAGGAGTGGTTAGGTCAAAGGTTGCAATAAGGATGTAGTATAGGAAGAAAGAATTAGTTCGTAGAAAGAAAGATATGAAGTGATTTTAATCTCTTAGTTTAAGGGAAGACAGGGAGTGTATACACCGACGCCATTGTGATCGATTCTGAGCCATGTCACCAAGAGTCTCCAACCATTGGTTACGAAAGTCACGCGGACCCCAACCAAGTAGTCTGCATCTACCAACATGGCTCAGACTAGAGGTTAGTGACTTCAGGCACTGATGCCACGTTTTGGTTTGGCCGCCCCTAACTTTCTTCCAACCATCCCCTACACCGGTTAGCATTGCACGTCGTGGTAATCGGTGTTCAGGCATACGTAATACGTGGCCCAACCATCTCAGTCGATGAAGATTCATAACCTCATCAACTGATTTACCATCATTCCCTAATACCCTGCGTCTAACCTCACTATTACTTACCCGGTGATCCCAGCAGATGCCAGCAATATTTCTAAGGCATCTGTGGTCAAATACTAGTAGCTTACGGGTGTCTTCCACTCTTAAAGGCCATGTTTCGCTGCCGTAAAGTAAGACAGAACGGACTGCCGCGCAGTATACTCGTCCTTTTATTGATAGACGGATATCTCGCCTTCGCCATAGGTGACGTAAGTTGGCAAAAGCCAGACGAGCTTTTCGAATCCGTGCTGAGATTTCGTCAGACATCAACCCACTAGGGCTGATCACACTTCCAAGATAAGTGAAGTTGTCGACGCGTTCGACTACTTCACTCCCTATCCTTAGTTCAGGTGTTGACGCAGACCAGTCCTGAAGCAACAACTTGCATTTAGAGGGAGAGAAGCGCATCCCAAGCATTCTGGCATTGTTGCTTAGTGCTACCAGAAGACTCTGCATTTTGTCAGCGTCTTCACCAAACAGGACTATGTCATCTGCGTATTCTAAGTCGATAAGTGGACCTCCTGGAAGGTATGTATATACAAATGAACACGACGAATAAAGATACCAAAACTGAACGGCACGCGATAACTTGCAGTGTACCGAGATTTTCTATTAGATATTATTTTGATTGTCTTCAAAATTCGTTTCAGCACTGTATGTTGCAAAGTGCAGTGTAGTGGAGGTTTTAAATAAAATATGTTTAAGTCATTCGGAGTAAGAAAAACATTTAAATTTATTTCGACAAACATTCGTACAACTGTATTTGCATTTAATTTGGTCAACATTTGCATGAACTTAGTGTGGAGATACGAAGAAAGTTATAAGATGAAAGTTAGGGTAACAAGTCCCATGCATAATAGGAACTCAAAATTAAGGCAAGCGGATAGGACGATAACAATTATAACACCTAAAAAGGCAACTGAAGTCCATAGTACAAAGTTGGTGGGAATTAACTTGTTTTAAACATGATGCTATTAATATGGACATCTCTAGTTTGCACTATTAGAACTTTACTAAAACTAAAATTGATCCCGAACCTCTAGAAAATATTTGCCAACATTTTCCTGCCAGCGAAAATATTTGGATTACAATCAATGGCACTAAGCGCCTAAAGATTATGAAGGTCTACACCAACCGAGTCAATCAGATTTGAGCAAAATGGAATACAGATTGACATAATTTAGAACGCTTAGCCCCCACATGTATTTTAACACGTGGTTTTGGTCATGAGACTGTGATCGTTATAGTTACAAAGCAATTTGTAAAACGGGTTTATATTTCCAGTTTTGCATGAAAAACAGGAAAGGATTTAGTGCAAAAACATACCGCCAAACTGGTCAACATGGTGACTTTCTCAAGGACTAAACGACTAGTAGTATTCGGACTCCATAATCTTAAAAGTAAGACTAATGAAAATATGCCCCTGTGGCCGAATACACCTTAAAAGTCTCATTAATGGTGAAACTTCCCAAAAACCCATAAGCTAAATCAACAATTTTTATGACTGGCTGTTCGAAAATTGACTACATGAGGAATCACGACATTGTTTTTATTATGTACACTTACCATTGGCTTTACCGGTCTCCAATGTTTTGACTCAAACTCCTAGTAATAATAATTCGTTTCTACATTCAGTTCATTATAAGCCTTTATAACAGCAAGAGACAACAATTTAATAACTATTTACAAAATACTTTGGCTATATATTTACTTAAAAATTAATTTGGACTAAATAAAGACTTAACAGGAAGTTACCCTTCCATCATTTTTGCTATATATGGCATTTGCATTTCTATGGAATGCTCTTCTTCGTCTTTGTCCAAAGTGAGACTAACAAACTCTCCTGTTTTTTCGAGGTCTCGGTATACTAAAAGAGAAATTGGTACACAGCCCTGAAAGTATTTACTTACCATCTCTACCAATTGACAAGGAGTACAATGGAGTCTCGAAGAAGTCCGCTGTGGATAGAGCGCATTTTCCTCTGAGGCTCATATAATGTGCAGGACCTAATACGAAAATACGTTTACTGGGCAAAGCTATTTGTATATATGCAGTTTACATGTGACGAGGGTCTATTTGTTTGTACGCAAACGCAGCACAAGGCCCCGAATAGTCATAACCCGCATGTCTATAATATATCACGTCAAAATAAGTGGTTCATATACGGTGAAATGATAGCACGGGCTGGTTGTCGATCAACAGTTACTTCAGACAACCATTTCTGCAACTGGTTGTTAAGCTTAGTACCTGAACGCCATCAAGAAACTTTAACAGAAAACGATTTCATACGGTCTGAAGAATACCAACTACCAGCATGAGAAGCTCTTCTAACGACAGAACTCATTTGATTGTTGAAGGTTTACTGTAGCCAGCAGTACCAAACTGTTTCAAAAACGCTCGTAAGTTTGCATATACGTCCAATAGATTAGGCTTGTGTAGTATGAACAGAAATATTACGGCCTATATTATTACTTTCTTATTATGTCTCGTTGGGTTTCTAGTCTTCTCTCGAATAAGTCAATGTAAGATGCGGACATCACTGCTTCGGTTAACAGAAGTGATGACCTCTCAATCTGAAGTAAGATAGAGTAAAGAAGTCTAACTTTTCAAGCCACCCTTCATGTGGTAAACCCCAGAGTTCTGAAGTTGCACGGGTGGCTGTCTCCACTCTTTTTCTAGGATGCTCGAGTCACCCATGAAGAGGTGCTTTTAGCCCGAATTCAGTAATCGAGCTTGATTCTCACTCTGGTTGTGTATACTGCAGTGCACGTTGTAGTAGATAACTTGATGAAGCTTATATAGTTTTAAACCTTTTAAGCTGTGACCTCTAGACAGTGGGCCGTGGTCTGAAAATCACGACTCATTGTCACCCGAAGATCCTTTTGAGACCAGAACACCGGTACAGGCACTTCCCTTATGCTGTAACAAATCACCTTTGTATCCCCCATGTGCATGTAGACACCATTCCCCGTGTTGATAGACATTAGCCACTCTTTAGACCAGTCAACCACAATATTTAGGTCTGCCTGAAGTGAGTAAGCACCAGATTTTCACATCGTCAACGTGCAATAACATTGGCGACTTGGGAGATCATTTATATACAATATAAAAAAATAAAAGACCTAGTACAGAACGTTGAGGTACTCCACTAAGTACTGGTCTCCAGGTAGAGCACCTCGAATTTATTCTTACATTCTGTCTACGACCTACTAGAAAATCCTTAAGTCATTGTAGTGGAGTTCCTGTAATATCAACATTTTCTAGCTTCATTAGCAGTCTGTCTGTCGGCACCTTTTCAAATGCTTTAGACAATATCTACTGGTTTTTCATTGTCTAGAGCCTTTGTCCATTTCTCCCTTGTTATAAGGAGGTTTGTTGTACAAGATAAACGTTTTCCGAAACCATGTTGTTCGCTGTTTAACAAGTTGTTGGTTTCCACAGATGTTATTATTGTCTTTTCGACAATTCTTTCAGTATTTTAATTGCGACGCTAACCGGACTGACAGATCTGTAGTTCCATGGAAGTTGTCTTGGTCCTGTTTTATGTATTGGAGTGACGATTGCATCCTTCCAGCCCGTAAGTAATATGTATTGAGTTGCGTTTAATTGCAGCCGTCCAAGTGACACTTTGAATATCACAGTTAGTGGGGCTGCAATATGCTATGCAATATGTCTCAGGATTTGGGCGGCCTGCTTAAATATCTGGGCTACCTGTTTCTGCCATCTGACTATTTCAACAAGTTATCTGGGTTTCTTTCATTTTTTTAACTTATAATTCCGTCCATTAATCGCATAACCTATTCAGGAGCTTTTATGAAAAGCCTACGACCTTTCGCTGCACAAGTTACGAAAAAGTACTATAAAATACATCGTGGTGGTTGGCAATATGCGTTAAAGAGAATGAGCATTATTCGTATGTCGATTCCCGAGCTGCTAAATTCTAACTGCCGATCACTAGCCAACAAAGTGGACTATCTGCAGTTCCTACTAAGTCAAAATATGTATCAAACAATAAAAAGAGGTGTTGTGGCAGTGTAGCTACGTTTGTAAACATAAACTGGTGTCGATCTTCGTTTGTGTGTTTTAAGTTTACAAATGACTTTATCGACTGTCTAACTCTAAGATGTCGCCCAAAACATCTGAATAAATACAAATATGTTTATGTTACCAATATCTACGTGACTCCAGATTGCACATCATCTGCACTATCTGTTTTCGCTGATGAATTCACTGAGTTGGCTGTTACTGCCTTCAGTGATTCACTTTCAGTGGTATGTGGTGATTTCAATTCATGTGACTGTAGCTTCCTTACGTCACTAGGTCACCAAAATGTAGTGGATTTTCCTACCCGTTTGGATGCTCATTTAGACTTCGTCTTCATTGATGATGTGGGCATATACGTGACTCGTAAACGTGCTCTGTTGTCTAGCTCGGATCACTGTATAATTCGTGTTCTACCTGAAGTATATGGAAAGCATGGGAAGAGTACACTATTACATCAAACCAAGAAAGTCAAATATAGGAAGTACTCAGAAGAAAATATCCGAAATCTGAAAAACATGTTTCATACTACTAACTGGGACTTATTTACAGATGACTCACTGGAAATCATCACTGATGTTATCACTTGTTACCTTAAATTTTGTTTTGATATTTGTTGGCCCACTGAAACCACTTTTGTAAGTTTTGATCGACTTACATTTTCACAACTAAAACGACTACGGAGGCCGAAAGAAGTAGAAAAACTCTAGTGAATTTCGTAAGCTAAATGGTGTGATAAACCTAGAGATTAGACGTCTCAACTCTATGTTTACTCAAAAACTCTTGTCTTGCAAAAACTCTCCAAGTATATGGAAACTCTTTAAAGAACTAACAGGTGACAGACAGTTCAGGAGCGGTAACCAGCTGAATGTTTGTGACTTACACAAGTCTTTTGTGCGTCAGCCATCTGATGTAATGCTCCTTTCCTCCACAGGTTTAAAGAATAGCTGTGTTCCTACTCTCACTGAAACTGATGTACGAAGATGTCTCCAGTCGCTTAATTCATCTCGATGTTTGGAACCTGATGGTACCCCAAACATCCTTTTTAAAAAGTGTGCTGACGTCCTATGTTATCCGTTCACAGCTATCTTTAACAGATCCTTCTCATCTAATCTCATACCGAAAATGTGGAGAAAGATGAAGATAATTCCTGTACCCAAGGAGGCATCTGGTGATAAGAATGTGAAATTCAGACCTATCACAATAACTTCACCCTTCCTCAAATCAATGGAAAAATTATTAATGCTTCCACTTCAGCCTGGGATAAAAGAGCATATTGATCCGAATCAGTTTGCTAACAGACGCAAAAGAAGCACTTTAGATGCTGTTGCTGTTCTGTATCACAACATAGTGTTCAACTTATAAAAGGGTAAGAAGTATGTTCGATGTGCTTTTCTGGACTATACTTCAGCTTTTGACTCTATACCAAGGCAACGTTTACTTAACAAGTTAATCAGCGTCAACAATGACAGCTGGATAACCAACTGGCTATGTTCCTACCTCTCTGGAAGGGAACAGTACACTGTGTTTGGAGGAAAGTGTTCAGAGTCTCTACTGTCTCATGAAGGTGTACCACAAGGAGCTGTTCTTTCACCTATTCTTTCCTCTTTTTTTCTGCATGATCTGCCACCTTCCACAGAAAACACTTTTGTGAAGTATGCGGATGACCTCACTGTATGTATGCCTATCTCTTCCTCTTTACATCCCATAGAAATGAATAAGTTTTTGTCTTGTATTGATTGTTGGTCTGTTGATAATGGTCTCATACTTAATCCGTCTAAATGTCAAGCTGTTAACTTCAGCATGAGACATGAACGGAATATAAACACTATTTTGAGATCCCATAATACTTGTACCATCGGTGACCCTGATAAACACAGTGTCGAAGGTCAATTATCTTGGTGTTACCTTTTCCTTTGATCTGTCTTGGTCTTCCCACATTTTATTGTTATCAAAGAAGGTTTTCCGTCAGACCTACTACATAAAGAGATTGTGTGCTCTTGGGATTACTCGTCACTTACTCTTACAATTTGTCAATTCTTGCATATTACCTATTATTCTTTACTATTCTCCATTATTCTTTCCCGGGATTTTGAGGAAAGACTTTGCTGTAGTGCGGAGAGTGCTGAAGCCAGTCAGCAAGATGTGTGGTGAATCTTTCGAGATCATAATTAATATGGTTGTGGATAGACATTTAAAATCATGAAAACTCCTGGCAGGTGTTATTTTATCGGATACTAACCATCTCCTTCACTCTTACCTTTCTCCTTGTATATCGTCTGGTAGAACGAGACGTAATTACATTAAAATCCATGCATGCAAGCAAAAGTAAAAAAGTTCTATAATACCTTACCTAGCAAATATACTCTGTGACGAACAGGTTGTTAGAGTCATCCTAGTCTATAACTTGTTGAAATAACCTGTGCTGAGAATTCTATATTGTATCAAAACTATAATATTGAATAGATCCATTAATAATAATGATAATAATGATAGTCCATCCGTTCGTGTTGACTTTTTCGTGTCCAAGGTGATAAGAGCCTTGAGTACATCGTCTTGAACAAAGTCCACGGTAAGCAGACGCTTTGTTGACTTTGCTTTTTCGTCTAGTTCTTCGTCTAGAACGGGCTCATGAATGAAAAATGCCTCACAATATTTTGTCATAGCCTCTGTTTTTCCTGATCATACTCTATCACTTCAAATCCACTCCTTTCCATAACTAGGTTGTGAATCCAATACTGGGTCGTTGTTTTGTAATTTATGTACGAGAATAGACTCTTAGGCTGCCTGATCGCAGATTGTGCCGACTGCATTTCAAAATTTCCATGAGTTTCCCGGCTTTTAATTATACACATATTTCCTACCATCCTGTAGCATTCCATATAACTTGCTGCTCCAAGGTTGAGTAAACTGACTGTGTAACTGCCTGAAGTGAGTCCATGCCACTTCTACTGATGCCCCCGAGTCAATTATCCAGTTTTTATCCGATGCTACAAAGTTTATCGCCTCCATGTATACCTTCTATATATAAGGACGGGTCAGTGCAACTGTTTGACAGGCCATCTCAGCCATGAACTGGAAAAAGTTGACTGCATGATTACTTTTCCCTAGAGGGGGGGGAGAACCATTTGATCGACACCATCACAGTGTGTGAAGAAGAAATCCAATAGAAACGAGGAGATTCTCAAGTCATATCTGATGGGGTCTCTAATATGCTGGAACAAAGCTAGTGCAATTGTGGTTTCTAACAATTTGCAATCAAATGTTGTTGATGGCCTTACTTCTAAGTTTACGCAGTTTATATACGATGCATTAAAGTCATCTACTATAAGGCTTCTACCCTTATTACACCAGGACTTAAGTTTGATTGGGAGGAAGTAACCTACTGCA